GAGAACAGCGAAGGAGCAAATGAGCTAAAGAAAGATAAAGGGGCCAAACAGAGAAGGGGCCGACAGGGGCCTGACGGGCAGAGGGGTGCGTGCAGAGCTGGAAGCTGGTCTCCAGACACCCCATGTCCCTTCCCCAGCCTCTGGGTCCCTGAAGGTGTATGAGGGGATGACCTTCCCCCTGACCTTCAGCTGCCCATCTTGACAGGTCTGGGGGTGGGGAATAGGATTGTCTGGGTTTGGATTTCTGCTCCACAGAGTTACACAAACCTTTTAAATCCCACGGCCCCCAGAGACCCAAGAGACAAGAGTTGGAGGCATCTGCAAGGGGAAGGGGGGGCTAAGAAGAGGGGTTGGGCGGAGGTCTGAGGCCGGATGAGGGGACTGGGCAGTGACAGCAGTTGAGAGGGGGCCTGGAGGAGGGCTGAGGATGGAGGAGCAAGAATGAGAAGCAGGATGGCTGCTGGATCCCACTGGGGAGCCTCTCCCAGCTGTGGAGATGGAAGGAAGAGCTGAGGCTGCAGGAGGAAGACAGGTTCTTCTGGATGATTCCCAGCATCAAAATGGGGTCCTCACTATTGCCTGGGCAGGGATAGACAAGATGCCCTTGGGGTCACTGCCAGCAAGGCAAGAGGGGAAGGAAAGAGAGGCTGAGGGGACATGAAGGAAGGGCATGTAGCCCTCTCCTTCCCCCAAATTCCCCAAGGAAAAAGGTGACTGGCTTTGACCCTCTCGGGCCCCCAGCCCCTCTTGCTCTCCTACCTAAGCAGCTTAACTAATAGCATTAAAGCAGGTCTCAGGACTAACCACTCTCCACTTGGAGCTGAGATCAAGCGGGGAGACCAGAGCTTCTAATCAGATTGGGGATTTGGCAGAGGGGTGGGGGATGCAGTTTGTTCCAGGCTAACAAGCACAAAATATCCCCCTGGAGACCACCATCGCTGTGTCTCTGAGGGGTTTCTCCCCGAACTCTTGCCCCTCTAAGCTGGTTTCTCTCCTCGGATCTTTCCATCCCCTGGGCCATAATCGGGGCTTCACCTGTGTCCACAACTGATTTCCGCATCACTGTTTCTCTGTCTGGTACTCTCTGATTCACTCTTTCTCGCTGACTCACACAGCCTGTCTCTTTCCGCTGCCTTTGTATTTACAAACAGTCCCATCTTCCCACTGAATCAATCAAGCAGTCACTGAAACACTTGTTTTTGTCCAATCAATCTGATTATGCAGTCAATCCACCTCAGCCCCTTAAAAGGCTCCACACAACGAAACGACTTTGAATACAAGTTTCCACTTTGTATACACGGAGCCTTGGTCTCGAACACTCCTACTTTTTTATATATATTATGTGCATTCCTGTCTTTCCCATCCTTTCTGCTTCGCTCTCTGTCCATCTGGCTGGCTGACCTCTGGCTTTCTGGGGACTTTATGGATAACTTTTCTGGCAAAGGGCCCACATGGAGGGTTTAGACTGGAAGTGCCTCCTTCAGGACCCGGGGCCTCCCACCAGCCTCACCTCTCTGCTCTGAAGTCTCATCCTCAACTTTTCTGCCCTGGTTGACTGATTACAGCTCAGAGCCTGGAGTCAGACAGACCTGTTCCCATCCGGCTCCACCACTTGGCCAAGATCTTATGCAAGTCTCTTAATCTTTCTGAGCCTCAATTTCCTTAGCATACAAAACAGATAATACCTGTCTCGAAGGGTTATTGTGAAGAGTCAAAGAAGTAGCATAGGAACACGTGTTAAACCCAATACCGGGAGCGTAAGGGCCCCATTCACATGAACTAAAATCTTCCAAAGGTGAACTCTGCTGTGGACATTTCCTTTGGCTCCAAGCCCTAGCTTAGGGCTTACGCTCTGTTGTTATCTCCAGTATCTGCATCGCTTTCATTAAGTAATGACCTAAAACCTACATGTGTTGTAACGAATGCTTACATTGGCCAAGGGGGTTAGCCATATTATTAGTAATCGGAATGATGATGTTGATGGCAATACCAATTGCTTGCTGCTACAACCCTTCAAGAAACACAAAGTGCTTAAGAGAAGCCACTTGGGTCATCTGAGATTGGGTTATGATCCTTCTTGATTTATGCTTTTCAATACTCATTCTCCTCTAGGGCCACTGTACTGATCTTGCCGTGGAGGGGTCTGTGCAGAACCCGTGGTTAGAGCTTCCCCAAGCTTTGTGTGTCTGGCCCACAGCACAAGAGGGGAGGAGCGGGAGCCTGGAAGGTCAGGACAGGGTGGGGACAGAATGGGACTACCACCCCCAGCCTTGGGAGCATCCCCACCAGAGTGCGAACTAAAGTGAAGCACGAGGAATTAAGGTTAAGTGCCAAGGACAACTCCTGGACATGAAGGCAGAACTGAGTGTTCTCTGAGTGTTCCCCAGTCAGCTCAGAGGCTCGAGGAGGAAAGGAAGGATTCGGCGCAGGCGTCTGGCAGGAGTTGTCAGCAGCAAGGATTTCCACACTTAGAACTGGCAAGGTCCTCGGAGACTTGAGGATCCATCAGGGACTCTCACAGACATGGGAGAAGCTGAGGAGGAGGCTGCTGGCATCAGGAAGCTGGGAAACTTGACCTTGCCTACTGATGCCACTTGATTTTGTATTCTGAGTTTTTTTCTTTTGGGTGGTAGGGAAGGGGCTGTTGGGAGCCCACCTACATGGCTGAACATTATAAATCTTGACTCAAGGTCTTGCTTTCCACTCTTTGATTTAAGAGCTGTATGGTCTTAGGAAGTTATGCAACCCCTCTGCTACCTCCTGTGAGGGTTCAGGATATGTTGGTTTCAATCCCTTAATGTAGTGTGGACCACACCAAGTGTCTGGTCAGTGACGGGGTTCTCTTCTTGCCAGATCCTAAGTCCACCCTGAGGTCTCACATCCTTCAGACCAGAAAACACCATCAGATTCAGCAGGTGCCAGGCCAAGCCATAGGAAATTCTATCAGCTTCCTTCAGGGAACGGTCATGCCTTGGACTCTCTCAAAACTCACCTCTGCACCCTGCCCCATTTCCCAGCCCGTTTTCCTAAGGGGAAGCAGAAAATATCCCAATCAGGTTGAGGTTCAACCAAGGAGGAATTTCCAAGTGGACAGGACAGGAAAGGAGGTTGAGGTTGGAAGAGGAGTGGGGCCTCTGCTTCCGGGGAGGAAATGAGAGAAGACTTCAGAATGTCCGCTGCCGGTTTAGAAACAGAGAGATGAGTCGGATAACCTATTCAACCAGATTCCGGGTGGGCTTGGATCCACTCACTGCCCTATTCACCTTAATTTCCAGAGACACTCTCAGCTCAGGTCAGACTTGGTGCCTCCAAGCTCCTGCCCTTACCTGCCTGTCAGTTTGTCAGTTTACATCCCTGGCACTGAGCATTCCCTGGGAAAGGGAGAGTGAGACACCAGATGGTCTCTTGGTGCCAGGAGTCGGGGAAGCCAGGGTTCTTAAAACCTGAAGTGTCTGGGGTTCCTGACTTTCTAACACCTACAGTCTCTTTCTGCTCCATCCCATGGGTTCTATAGGTTCTCACTGCTCAAAGTATGGTTTGTGGACCAGCAGCAGCAGCACCTAGAGGCTTGTTAGAAGTGCAGAGTCTTGGTCAGGTGCAGTGGTTCACACCTGTAATCCCCGGGAGACCAAGGCGTGTGGATCACTTAAGGTCAGGAGTTCGAAACCAGTCTGGCCAACAGACGAAACCCCATCTCTACTAAAAATACAAAAATTAGCCAGCGTGGTGGCAGGCGCCTGTAATCCTAGCCACTTGGGAGGCTGAGGTGGGAGAACTGCTTGTACCCAGGAGGCGGAGCTTGCAGTAAGCCGAGATCGCGCCACTGCACTCCAGCCTGGGTGACAGAGCAAGACTCTGTCTCAAAAAAAAAAAAGTGCAGAGTCTTAGGTCTCCCAAGTTCTGCTGAATCAAAATGTGTATTTAAAAGAGATCTTTAGGTCATTCCTACTCACATTAGAGTCTGCAAAGCATCAGCATAGATTATTTTTTTAAGTCTGAAGGCAACTGAGTAGATGAGAAGGTGCTGTGGATTAGGCAGCTGGGGCCAGGGCAGCTAACCCACCATCTGTCTTTGGTCAGGTCACTTTCCCTGCCTGAGCTTCCCCTGGAAAATGAGAAAGCAATCCCCCGACAAACCCTCACGTGCCCTCCAGACCTGACAGCCTAACAGGTTCTAGCTGCACCCTATCTCCATCAGAGGCAGAGAGCCAGGCCCGGGTCACGTTACGCTGTTCACGGGCAGTCCTAAGGGCCCAGGAATCTCCCAGTGCCCTGGCCCACCAGGAGCAGGTCCCATGGCTTTGTCCCCACGGCAGCCCCTCCCGTCCCTCCTCAGCCCCCTTGCATATCGTTTCATCTTCCATTAGTTATAGTGGAAACCAGCCTTTTGCACCATCCAGAAAGCTTTTTGCTCCATCCAGAAGGCTTTTGGGCTTACACATTTTCTTTCCTCTCTCCCTGTATCAGGCAAGTCTATCTCATGAGGGCTTATTCCATAAACTCCCCACACTTCTCAGCTGAGAACCACAAGATTCCCGGTTCCTGCCCATGGTTCATCAATTCAACAAACATCTGTAAAACACCTCTGAGTATGAGGTCCTGTACTAGGATCTGGGGAGCCAGCAAAGAACAAGACAGCTAGGGTTCCTGACCTCGCAGCTGACACTCAGTGGGGGACAGATGTTCAACAAAGAATGACACTATCTACAAGTCCATTACCATTCATTCTATCCGCAGTCATTTATAGAACACCTACTGTGTGCCAGGCCCTTCGGACTCATTGTAAAAATAAATAAATAAATAAATAAAAAATCCTGCTTGGCCAGGCGCAGTGGCTCATGCCTGTAATCCCAGCATTTTGGGAAGCTGAGGCAGGTGGATCATCTGAGGTCAGGAGTTCAAGGCCAGCCTGATCAATAGGGCAAAACCTTGTCTCTACTAAAAATACAAAAATTAACCAGACGTGGTGGCATACACCTGTAATCCCAACTACTTGGGAGGCGGAGGCAGAAGAATTGCTTGAACCCAGGAGGTGAAGGTTGCAGTGAGCAGAGATCACACCGCTGTGCTTCAGCCTGGGCAACAGAGCAAGACTCTGTCACACACACACACAAAATCTGCTCTTCTCAAATGTGAAAGTGTTTGAAATACTGTAATGGCACAGGTATGTATATATGCCACCTCCTTCCCACTCAAGATTTAGAATGAGCCCATGATTAATTACATTTTCTTTTGTCTTCTCTTGGGAAAAACTTCAATCCTGTTAAGCCCTAAGAAGAGCTCTCATTCTCTGTCTAAATCCCCCAGCAGGGGCAGGATACGGGACCCTTTGCATTTCTCTCCATCTGTATAAGTGGCTCAGCCCCAAGCCCTGAGTCTGACAGCCCTGGGCAGCCAGGAGGTCCCCATAGGAAGCTGGGCCCTGTCTGGGGATGGGGAAGCTTCCTGCCTCAGATTCCCTTTTCTCACCTTCACTGGCAACCTCTTGTCCCTTCCCTTTTCTCTCTCTACTGACCCTCTCCCTTCCCTCCTTTCCCTCCCTTGTTCCTTCCTCTTTCACTGTCCTTCCCTCTGTCTCCTTCCTTCCCTTCTTCTTAAGTGGTGGCCGTATTTCCCCAAGGCCGAGACACAGCGCCTCTCACCGGAGTGGACCATGCACTGCAGCTGCTTGGCTGAGGGTGTCCCGGCCACCCCCAGCAGCTGGATCTCAGGTGAGCCTCTCGGCCAGGTCTACCCCTGCTCCAGCGGCCCAGGGCAGGGCCTCCAGAGCCCTCACTCTCCCCTCCCCACCCAGGCTTGGCCTTCCCTGACTGGGCCTACAAAGCCGAGTCATCCCCAGGCTCCCGGCAGATCCAGCTGTGGCACTTCATCCTGGAGCTGCTGCAGAAGGAAGAGTTCCGCCATGTCATCGCCTGGCAGCAGGGGGAGTACGGGGAATTTGTCATCAAGGATCCAGATGAGGTGGCCCGCCTCTGGGGCCTCAGGAAATGCAAACCACAGATGAATTATGACAAGCTGAGCCGTGCCCTCAGGTGAGAGGAGGCAGCCAACAAGGCCTAAGATGGGAGAGTTCAAGGGAAAGGGCCACGGTTTCTGGACCCCCTGCTGGTTCCCACCCCTCCATGCTTGGCGAGTGTCCTGGCCTGTGGGGAGCTGCTTCGTGGTTCTCTGAGAGCAGCTTAGGGTCAGCCCAGCTGGGGAGGAGAATGTGATTAGGTCCCTGACTCTATTCCCTGACCACCGGGCCAACTCGATTCTCCACTTCGAATTCTCCAGATATTACTACAATAAGAGGATCCTGCATAAGACCAAAGGCAAAAGGTTCACGTACAAGTTCAACTTCAGCAAGCTCATAGTAGTCAACTATCCTCTGTGGGAAGTGCGGGCACCGCCGTCCCCCCACTTGCTGCTGGGGGCCCCTGCCCTGTGTCGGCCCGCGCTGCTGCCTATGGGTGTGCAGAGTGAGGTAAGTGGGAAGGTGGCTCCTGTCTCAGGGCTCCACCAGGTCCTGCCCCTCTGCCCAGGAGGCTCCCACCCTCCTCTCTGCCCCTGGGGCCCATCAGCCTCCAGTGTTCTTCTCCTCCTGCATCCTAGTCCCTGAGTACCCCAAGGGCAGGTGTATTAATCTAAGTGGTACAGGGCCCACCTGTGAGAAAGGGTGGCTCCTTCTGTGCTAGGCCCCACTGCTTTAGTGGTGGATCAGAGGGAAGATCCCAGGGCATCTGAGACTGTAGGCAGCCGTGGCAGTGGGCTTTTAACAATTGGTACGAGAGACTGGCACGGTGGCTCATACTTGTAATCCCACCAATGTAGAAGGACAAGGTGGGTGGATCACCTGAGGTCAGGAGTTCGAGACCAACTTGGCCAACATGGCAAAACCTATCTCTACTAAAAATGCAAAATTAATTGGGCATGGTGGTGCATGCCTGTAATCCCAGCTACTGGGGAGGCTGAGGCAGGAGAATCGCTTGAACCCAGGAGGCGGAGTTTGCAGTGAGCCAACATGGCGCCACTGCACTCCAGCCTGGTGACAGAGCAAGACTTCATCTCAAAAAAAAAAAAAATCGGTATGAGAGTATTTTATTGTTTTAGCAACTGGCTGTGTACTGGAGAATACATGGCAGGGAGAGCCCATCCCACCCCATACCTACTTCTCACCCTCAGCTCCTGCACAGCATGCTGTTCACGCATCGGGCCATGGTGGAGCAGCTGGTGGGACAGCAGACCCTCCGGGGGTCTCCAGAGGCCTCTGCGGATAAGAAGGGGAGCAGCAGCAGCGTCCGTGAGTACTCAGGGCTGGGAGGGCCCAGGGAATCTTTGCCAGAGGGAGGGAGGGCCTTCCTGGCTGAGTACATGGCTGATGGGACATGAGACAAGGGATACTATATAACTCATTCATTCATTCAACCAACCTATTGAGCACCAGCTATTTACTAGGTGTGGGGGTTCAGAGCTGAAATACAGTCCTCAAGAGGCTCAGAACCTAGTGGGGAGCAGCGATGGGATTACTGCCAGTGACTGCTGCTGGCATTCAGGTAAGCACTAGGTGCTAAACCTTCAGGCCCAGAGAAGGAACTAGAGCTTTCCGGACGATGCAACACTGGGGCAGGTGAAGGAAAAAGATGCCTAAGCAGAGGGAATAGCATTTATTTATTTATTTATTTATTTATTTGACAGCATCTCACTCTGTTGCCCAGGCTGGAGCACAGTGGTGTGATCTCAGTTCACTGCAACGTCTGCCTCCCAGGTTCAAGCGATTCTCATGCCTCAGCCTCCCAAGCAGCTGGGATTACAGGCATGTAATCTGACCGCGACTCTTCCTCCCTGTCCTCCCTGCCCGCGTGAGAAAGTCCTGCTCCCTTAGCATGGCTTGTGAGGCCTCTGTGGCCTGACACCTGTCTGCCTCAGTTTTGTATTTTTAGTAGAGACACGGTTTCACTATGTTGACCAGTCTGGTCTCAAACTCCTGATCTCAGGTGGTCCACCTGCCTTGGTCTCCCAAAGTGCTGGGATTACAGGTGTGAGTCACCACACCCAGCCAGGAATAGCATTTATAAAGCAAAAAGCTGTGGACAGGCAAATCTGGAGAAGTGCTGGTAGCTTGCTGTTAGAGGGCTGATCTGGTGATGGGGTGGGAACAAGCGGGACGGATGAGAGATGGAGCTGGCAAGGCAGACAGGTGTCAGGCCACAGAGGCCTCACAAGCCATGCTAAGGGAGCAGGACTTTCTCACACGGGCAGGGAGGACAGGGAGGAAGAGTCGCGGTCAGACTTTCATTTTATGCAGATGACCGGTGTTGTGCGTGGAGTTTGAGTTGAAGGAGGCACACTGGGAGTTGGGGGCCTTTAAAGATTATCTAGGCAGGCGATGACAGGGCGGGAACCAAGACAAGGGCCATGGGCTAAAGGAGGCTCAGCTGGAGAGAGACTGGGAAGATAGAGTTCTTTCATTCGTTCACTCACTCATTCATTTCTTCTTTCATCAGATGCTTGATGACTGCCTGTTTCATGTGCCAGGCACTGTCCTAGGGGCTAGGAGCCAAAGTGAGCAACACTGCCTTTATAGGACTTACAGGCAAGGGGGGCGCAGACATCCAGCTGATGATTGATAAGTGATTTTAACTGTGCTAACTGCTGCAGAGGAGAAGGGCAGGGTGCCGAGGGCATCGGGGAAGACTTACTTGACAAAGTGACATTTGAGATGACACCCAAACTGTACAGGAGTGCTAGCTTACCTCAGAGGGAGCAGAGAGAGCACAGCGGGCAAGAGAATAGTGTGTGCAATGGCCCTGGGACAGGACAGAGGGACTGGGAGAAGGCCAGCACAGAGGCACATGCTCATTTCGTGGGAGAAGGTGAAAATGTAGGCGGACATCAGCTCTTACAGAGGCTGTGAGCTGGAAACTGACAATAGCAGATTTTCGGTGAAAAAGATCACAGAGACACTTGACCAACCCAAGGCTCTTGTGCAGGGCCCAAGCATTGCCCCTTCACTCCAGGCAATTCCATGGAAGAAGGATCCATGGCCTTCACCCCACCCCTGAGCTGCTGGGGGCCCCAAGCTCTGTACCTCGGGAGTGCAGCTGAGGCCATGGGTGTGGGGTGGCCCAGGGCCTGCTGGGACTCGCTGGGTCTGGTCTGGCAGCCCAGAGCTAAACGCACCTGGACAGCCTCCCTGTTCCTCCACCCCCACCCACCCCCTCCCAGCTCTGGGAATGCCTTGGGCACAGAGAGCTGCTCTCTTTGGGAAACTATGAGGGAAAGAAAAAAGTGTTCCCTCTCCAGGTGGAAAGAAAGAAAGAAAGAGAAAGAAGAAAAGAAAAGAAAGAGGTGGGAGGGGAGGGGAGGGGAGGGGAGGGGAGGGGAGGGGAGGGGAGGGGAGGATTCCCTCCTAGGCCCCATTTGGAGTGGACTCCTTTGCACCTCCCTCCCCTCTGCAGTCAAGCACACAAGCCCTGCCCATGCTGGGCCCTAAGGGAGGCTAAGCAGCGGTAGGTCGCCAGAAGGTTAGGAGCAGCCACATGCCTCATTTCTGGATTGAGATTCCAGAAGCCTGTGCCAGCCCCTCACTCAGAGCATTTTGTGCCAGGAAAGGAAGCTGCTTCCGGGAGTGCCGGGACTGTGGCGCTGGAACCAGGGGACTGCGGGGCTGGTGCAGAGAAAGGCTGGGACCCGGAGGTGGAATGAGAGGAGGACTCTTAGAAATAAAACCTCCCTTCCCCATGCCTTGACCTCAGGAGCCCCAGGAGACACAGCCCTCCTGTGTGACAGCAGTCCCACCTCTTCTTGGGATACAGGGAAAAGATACATCTTGGGATACAGGGATACCCAGAGAGCGGCTGCTCTGACCGGGGTCTCCACCCATGCTACTTCTCCTGGAGGATCATTGTCGCCGTTTTCTCCCTACATAGATCTGACTTCAGAAATCTTGCTCCTATCAAATACGTGGGACATGGTCAATAATAACTAATTTGCTTTTCCATTTTTACTCACTGTAGCCCAACCAATGTGGCTCCACTGGGCCAATGCTTGTTCTTTGAGTTGAATGACGTGGCCTTGCTGAGAAAATCGTGGCACTGCAGTCAGGCTTGTTGACGTACAGAAAGTGATGTGGAGCTCTATCCAGTCATCTCCAAGGCCGCCAGCTGGGAGGCCCTATTGTAGGGCCCTGGCAGGGTCGGAGAGGGAAAGAGGGTGGATTGGAAGGAGCAAGAAGGAAGCCCTTTCGGAGGAGGAGAGCTATGGACCAGAGCGCGACAGGGAAGAGGGAAGCTGGGCCTCCCAGTCATGAACTCCGCAGGCCCCTTCTTCCCCATGACGCAGCTTACTCTAAGCTAAGAGAGGGGATTTTATGGATGAAGAAACAGAGGACTGCAAATGAAAATGACAAGCCCAAGGCCACACATCCAGTCCTTTGCCCGGCTAGACTGCAGGCCCTGCGGCAGGCGCAGGGAGTGAAGAATGGATCCGCTGGGATAAAGCGGGCACCGTCCTTCCCTTACGCACTGACGTATTTTTCAGGAGTACTCAATGTGTCCAGACTGGGTAGATTCAAGGGAAAATAAAACAAAGACAGCACCTGACTTCACAGAGTTGGGCTCACAGATATTAAGTGACTGCATCAGCCTAACTCAGCCGAGTGCCCTGGAGGAGAGGTCCAGGGAGGCATGAGAACAGGCAGCAGGTACCCTCGCCTAGGCTGGGGTCTCGGAAGGCTTCTCCAAAGAGTGGAGTTTATGAAGAGGCCTAAAGAAAAGCAGAAAAGGGCTGGGCGTGATGACTCACACTTGTAATTCCGGCACTTTGGGAGGCTGAAGCAGGTGGATCACGTGAGGTCAGGAGTTCGAGACCAGCCTGACCAATATGATGAAACCCCGTCTCCACTAAAAATGCAAAAAAATTTTTTTTGTATTTTACAAATACAATCTTACAAACACAAAATACAGGCGCTTACCACCACACCTGTATTTTGAGACCACAGGCATGGTGTGGGTGCCTGTAGTCTCAGCTACTCAGGAGGCTAAGGCAGGAGAATTGCCTAAACCTGGGAGGTAGAGATTGCAGTGAGCCGAGATCGCGCCACTGCACTCCAGCCTGGGTGACAGAGAGAGATTCTGTCTCAAAAGAGAAAAGAAGGGCAGAAAAGGAAGGGCAAAGCTGGCAACATGGCAAGACTTCATCCCTACAAAAAACACAAAAATTAGCCAGGCGTAGTGGCACACGCCTGTAATCCCAGCTACTCAGGAGGCTGAAGTGGGAGGATCGCTTGAACCCAGGAGGGGTTCAAGCCTGCACTGCAGCCTGGGTGACAGAGAGAGACTCTCTCAAGAAAAAAAAAAATAAAGAAAAGGAAGGGCTGTGGGGCAAAGAAGAGAGGCTTCCAAGCAAGAAACAGGAAGGCCTGTGAAATGGGAGGAACAAGAGGCATCTGAAAGGCACTGGGCTCCCTTGACCCTTTCTCTCTTTTTCCTTTTCTAGGACTTGGCTCCACCCCAGGCCCCTGCCAGCTGGGCCCTTGCTGCCATTTGGGGAGCGTCCAAGCCGAGCTGCCTGGAGTTGCTTCCTTCACCCCTCCCCTCCTGCCCCCTCTCGCCTCCGACTGGACCTGCCTCTCGGGGCCCTTCTTGCCTCCTCTTCCATCAGAGCAGCAGCTCCCAGGGGTCTTCAAGCCAGGCACCCTGCTCCCAGGACCTAGGAGCCTCCCAGGGACCTGGTATTTTCCAGGACGTCCTCTCTTGGCCGGGCTGAGACAGGGTGTGGGTGAGAGGCTTCAGCCCTTGTCCCTCAGGCCCGAGGGGCTGGAGGTAAAGCCTGCTCCCATGATGGGGGCAAAGGGGTGCCTGGATCCCAGGGAGGGCTTCTGTCCAGAGACCCGCAGACTCAAAACTAGGGAGGAAAACCTCACCTCCCCCAATCTGGAGAACCTCAAAGCAGTGTGGCCCTTGGATCCTCCTTAATTGGAGAGGAAGGTGGGAAGTTGGAGGGTTCTCCAAAGTCAGTCTCTGGGTTAGTACCTTCCCCTGGCTGGACGTGGGCTGGAATTGCAGGATTTGAAGGGGTGGAGTTGGACCCAAGGTGAGGAGCATTGCAGGGAAGGTGTGATGTGGCCAAGACAGGGTGCCCCTCCTCTCCCACCTCATTGCTAATCAGACTAAGGGGACCTTCCTAATCTCGACTTTTCTTCAGGGAGATGAGAATAAGGTTTCTGTAATTTCCATCCTGCCCACTAAGGGGGAAAACTAAGGGTGTCGCCTGGGGAGAGGACGGGGTGGTTGTGTTCTCCGAGTCTTCTCCAGGGCCCATCTCCCCAGTCTGGGCTCAGGTCTCCAGCCCCTTTCTCACCTGTCCTTGCCACTTCTCTCCCATCCCTCTGATCGCTGAGACCCTGGAAACCTCCGTCCCACACAGGCACTTCCTCCTCTCTCCATTTCCCCAGGACCCAGGCAGGTGGGGAAGGGAGACACCGGCCTTCTCTGCTCTGTAATTCTCCACTGTGACCATGAATAAAATGCCCCTGCAAACCTCCCGCTGGCTGACCACCTCCCTGCAGTGAGCGCCCGTCCTCCCACTGTGCCCTTCCTGTGTTCTGGTCTGGTGTGATGGGAAGGGGCCTGAGCAGGAGTTTTGGGTGAGCCTGAGGTCTGGAGTGGAGCTACACAACCCACCCGCCAGTCTCTTCCCTCCTGCCAGCATCTACTCTCAGAGAGAAAGGCTGGAAGGAGGCGAGGGCATGAGCAGCTTCCTGGGCACAGTGGGAAACCTGCCTCAAGGGAGGAATGGCAGACCACAGCAGGGGTCCTTAAAGAACGTCCCTCAGACCCCTGCGGACGACCTTGGAGCAGAAAGGTTGGGTGAGGAGGAGTGAGCTGTCAGGGGCCCCTTTTCTCTGCTCCTCAGGCCCTAAGAATGCCAAGCAGAGCAGCAGTGAGGCATCAGGTGCCTGGGAAGTGGGGGACATGTGACAGAGAGGGTCTTTTGCCCAAACAAGAACATGCCAAAAGAGAGGGGTACTCCAGGAGCCAAGCCTGTTGACCCCACTGCCTTACAGTTTCTAGGCTGCCAATTACAAGCCTAGGATTTGTCCCCACTCCCTTTCTATGACATGGAGCACTCAGCAGGCACAGAGCACCCCTTTGCCCAGTGTTTGGTCCCTCCTGAGCATATGCTGCTGCAGCCTCTCAGCCCTACTTAGTGATAGATGCGTGACCACATGGCCACACGTGGAACTGGGAAAGGAGAGCCCCGGCGTGGTCAGGATGGGCCCTCACTCCTCAGGGAGGTGGCGATGGACACGGCACACAGGCCCTGGGTTTCCAAGCTGGATCTAGGCCAGGGGAAAGGATCTCTGAGAGTTCGTCTCAGTCTCCCTCCTTCAGACCAGGTGCCAAGAAGGTGGGACCACAGAGTTTCTCTCCCAAGAGTTCCCAGGGCTACAGTGAAAACTGCTTCTCACTTGCCCCCAAAGCCGCAGGCCCATCCCTGGCCCTGCAGGAAGGACGAGCCCCCAGGGGCTTTCCCATCACCCTGCCCAGTTTGGGGAGACAAAGAGCCAGTGTTGTCTGCCCCAGCATAAGGAACTGGATGGTGCTGTCACGGGGTTTGGGCCCTGTTCAGAGAGACCAGCCCCTGGGACAGAATCATTCTCCTTCCTGGGGATCGTCACATATCCCTCTGCCTGGCCCCACCGCCTCTTCAGTGACCCCCATTTCTCAGGCGATGGGAAATGCCTTGAGGTCACTCTTCTAAAATTTCTTTTTGGAGTAGGTAAACCCGGGAGACTAAAAGCTCAGCCCCAGAGGACTTTACATTTCCAGGAGGTGCACTCTGCGTTTAGGCAATAGATTCGTGTGGAGCAGACTTTTTCAACCTTGGCACCGTTGAGATTCTTGGCTGCGAGATTCTCTGCTGTGGGCAGCTGCCCTGCGCATTCCTGGGTGTTTAGCAGCATCTGGGACCCCTACTCAGTAGATTCCAGGAGCACCCTCCCCCACCCTCTTAGGATAACCACACTGTCTCCAGACATTGGTAAATGTCTCCTGGGGAGAGGGGAGAAACCGCTCCCAGTGGAGAACCACTTAAGTAGAAAATGGTTTCAGCAAATCCAGATGTTCTGGGGAAGATGGGAACCAGGTTCCTCGGACTCAGAAGACTGTTGGGTTCCACACAGCAAGGGTGCTCTCTGGTGGCCAGAGTCAGTACTGGCGGTCCAGAGGCGCTCAGAACCCTGGCCTAGGCTGGGTGCAGAGCCCACAGTGGAAGGGGTGAAGGGGTGATGCTCACCTTGGAGTCCTCTGCGAGGAGGAAAAGAGTTGAAGGATGAAAACATTTTATCCATTGCAAGCCCCCTTAGCAAATCATGGACCGTCTACGAAAAGCTCACAGGTCTAACGTAGCAACACTCTGCAGCCCGTTTGTTTCTGGTGAGACCAGCTGCCATCACACCCTGTGGCTGTCAGCTTCATCTGCGGATAGAATGCTGTGGGTGCTCGGCCTTCTTCCAGGACAGTGGACACCGGGCCGAGACACAGTAGAGTCAGCTCACCTGCCAGTCCTGCTCCTGGGCACTCGGTTCCGCTGTACCAAAGGCATGTGCAGACACACACCTGGGCCTCAGGAGTTTCAGGGAGTCAGACTCCCAGGCTGCACGAACCTTATGCTGTTAGGAATCACAAGGGACCTTTAAGAGCATCAAGTTCAAGCCCCATAACTTCACAGTCTCAGAGAGAAGGTACTTGTTCAAAACCAAATAAGAGAAGAATCAAATGCAGAACATAAATTCCCTAATTGTCAGTCCGTGTTCTTTCCATCTCACCATGACCACTCAGCTAGAGAGTCGAAAATCCCTTAGAAATGAGTACATATGTTAAGAACAAAGTTTTAAAATTTATTCCTGTGTGATTTTTATTTAATTTTTTTTTTACATTGATTGATTGATTGAGACAGAGTCTCACTTTGTCTCACAGGCTGGAGTGCATTGGTGCCATCTCGGCTCACTGCTACCTCCACCTCCCGAGTTCAAGTTATTCTACTGCCTCAGCCTCCCGAGTAGCTGGGACTAGAGAGGCTGGCCACCACGCCAGCCTAATTTTTGTATTTTCAATAGAGACAGGGTTTCGCTGCCTCTCTGTTGGCCAGGCTGATCTTGATCTACTGACTTCAGGTGATTCCCACCCCACCCCATTTTGGGCTCCCAAAGTATTGGGGATACAGGCATGAGCCACCATGCCTGGCCCCTGTGTGATTTTTACTATGAGCATAGTTGTAAGCATTTTCCTTTTTGTGTGCACTGTGGCATTTGATGACATATTGTCTTGTGTCCTCCTCTAATTGTCTCATGTATATTAATATTGTGCCCCCATAAAGCTGGTATTCTCAGGGTAGTGCAGCACACCTGTTTGGTGGAAGGTGGCTAGTCACTAGAACACTTGATTAGCATGTGGAAGAGGTCTTGGAGGTTTTGTTTGTTTTTTTTTGTTTGTTTGTTTTGAGATGTAGTTTTGATCTGTCGCCCAGGGCCTGCACTGGAGTGCAGTGGGGCAATCTCAGTTCACTGCAACCTCCGTCTCCAGGTTCAGGTGATTCTTCTGCCATCCTCCCGAGTAGCTGAGATTACAGGCACCCACCAACATGCCCAGCTGAGTTTTAAATTTTTAGTAGAGATGGGGGTTTGCCTTGCTGGCCAGGCTGGTCTCAAACTCCTGGCCTCAAGTGGTTAGCCCCCTCGGCCTCCCAAAGTGCTGGGATTACAGGCGTGAACCACCATACCTTGGAGATTTAAAAACGAAAACAAAAGCAAAGTATTTGCCGTCCTGAATTGTTGGTGGTAGTGAGGACAATCCCCACCCTCTCCCTTTCGTTCCCTAATGAAAACCCTGACCCAGGGAGAAGAAAAAAATCCAAGCACCATACATGTTTTATATACATAAGATTTCAGTGTTCCACATCTTGTCCCCTGGGAAAGTCTTCAGGGGCGATAACAAGCATGGAGGTGTCATCTGCTATAGCGATGCCTTCTTCTGAAATACTTCCTGAAGGACTTGCCTGAGGCGATCCTGACTGTGCCCACATCAACATGGGTAATACCATACGTGCTGCTCCGTAACACGGTATCTCATGGATGTCTTCCCAATTAAACATAGAAAAACATACACTCACACATTGCTTAATGACAGGGATACATTCTGAACAAATGTATTGTTAGGTGATTTTGTCTTTGAGCAAACATCATAGGGTATATTTACACAAAGCTAGATGGTACAGGTTGTCACACACCTAGGCTCGGCATAGCCTATTGCTCCTACGATACAAACCTTACAGAACCTGTGCTAAATGCTGTAGGTAGTTATAACACAATGATAAGTACTTGTGTATCTAAACATAGAAAAGACACAGTAAAGCCCGGGCGCAGTGGCTCACGCCTGTAATCCCAGCACTTTCGGAGGCCGAGCAGAGCAGATCATGAGGTTAGGAGTTCGAGGCCAGCCTCGTCCACATGGTGAAACCCATTTCTACTGAAAATACAAAAACCAACCAGGCATGGTGGCAGGTGCCTGTAATCCCCACTACTCAGGAGGCTGAGGCAGGAGAATCGCTTGAAACCAGCAGGCTGAGGTTGCAGTGAGCTGAGATCATGACACTGCACTCCAGCCTGGGCAACAAGAGCAAAACTCTGTCTCAAAAAAAAAAAAAAAAAAGAAAAGAAAAGATACAGCAAAACTACAGTGTAAGAGATAGAAAATGGTACCCCTGTAGAGCTCATTTTGCCTTGAATGGAGTTTACAGGACTGGCAGTGCTCAGGATGGGTGAGTGAGTGAGTGGTGAATGAATGTGAAGACCGAAGGTATTAATGTACACTACCATAGACTATAAACACTGTACACTTAAGGCATACCCCATTTATTTAAAAGTGCAGTAGTGTGATCTCAGCTCACTGCAACCTCTGCCTCCTGGGTTCAAGCGATCCCCGTATTCAAGGGGTCTCCCCATGTTGCCCATGCTGGTCTGGAACTTGTAGGCTGAAGTGATCCTCCCACCTCAGCCTCCCAACTAGCTGGGATTACAGGGGCATTCCACCACGCCAGGCAAAGTTTTTGTATTTAGTAGAGATGATGTTTCGCCATGTACTGGTCTTAAACTCCTGACCTCGGCTGATCGGCCTGCCTTGGCCTCCCAAACTTTTTTACTTTAAAAACTTTAATTTTTTTTTAACTTTAGACTCTTTTGTGATAACACTTAGCTTAAGACACAAATATACTGCACAGCTGTACAAAAATATTTTTTCTTTATATCCTTACATGTAACAATATTATCCCTATTCTATAAGCTTTTTTCTATTTTTAAAATACTTTTTTATTTATTACTTATTAAACTTTTTATTAAAAACTAAGACACAAGCACACATATTAAGACACAGCACATGGCCTGAGCGGTGGCTCATGCCTATAATCCCAGCACCTTGGGAGGCCAAGGTGGGAGGATCACTTCAGCCTACAAGTTCCAGACCAGCATGGGCAACATGGGG